AGTAATAGCATAAAAATTTAGATGATAAATATTCATTTTTGATCGAATCAGGTGGTATTTTTGTTTTATATATTATTCTCAGAAAGTGTCATCAATGGGTGGCTCCTTTCATCAAATTATTTTCCTGTCATATTTACTCTTAGCATATATTCTTATTGTATTATGTATTAATGATACAGATTGTATATTACTTGTAAAAATAAAAAAAAAAAAAAAATATATTATTCTAGATTTGTGCATTATAAAAAATATATACTACGTGTACTGAAATACGATTGCTCATTATTAACATCGTTATTAATTTGCATAATTTGTCTGGAAATAAAATTTTGTAGACAACAAAAATGAAGTGGTGTAATATTTTATAGAGTAGATGAAAATCATTTGTATTTTTTCTTCATCTATCTAATTTTACCAATTTGTGATTTTAATGAGAATATAAATAATATGATTAGTAGTTTGGTATGGTAAAATATTATGTTACTACTACCTAAACAAGACTCCAGATTTTTTACATAGGTTGTGATTGGAATATAACTTAATTTTGTTTTACTTATCATTAGTTTTAAAATAAATTTAGGGTATGAATAAACTTAAATACGACAAAAATAAGAACGATGCAAAATGCAAACATAACATCTATTCTAATAGATTGTAAGATACTTTTAACAATTATATTGTACTTAGTTTGAAAATAAACATCATTGACACGTAATTCATGWTATTCAGTTATTGTGCACTGCGTTGGATTTTATTGATTTAACGAATTTAGTTTTAATTGTTACTATAAATGATGTTTGTAATATTAATAAATAACGCCACTTCCCTATAGTTTGTTTAAATATTRTAAACCGGAATGAAAGAAGTTATAATTGAATTAAATAGTTTTGTAAGCTAAAAATATGTTTCCTTAAAATTTTGATTATCTTTCTAATTCAAATTCAAATAATTTGAAGCACTAATAAAAGTAGTTTTAAATAAGGAATCGTGTACTAGGCATTTGTCGTTCATGGTTAAGTGTCATATCTTACCCCTTCTCATTAAAAAAACATCATAACTTCTAGTCATACAAACTGCCTATGGCATTCGCGTCTTAACAAATTTATCTCTGTATTTTAAAGTCGGATATGTCTCACAGTTGGGACGCGATATTATCAAACAGTGATAATATTATTATTTTAAGAACTTAGCAAAAAATAAAAATCATCGTCACTTTTAATTGATTAACGTAAAACTGTGACCATAGTGAACTACAGTGTTTTCTGTTTTTTGTGTACCTACATATTATTAATCATTTATTATGATATACGAGTATATCGTAACGTATTTTATAAAATTACATATATTAACATATAATACTRTGTTAGATATTCACGTGTGATTCTCATAAAATGTCGTTTGATGTAGTTTTGACCAATATTTATCATTGTCAAATATGTTTATTCATATAATATTTTTATACTTATATTATGTTTGTAGATTGTTAGCTACAGTAATCAGTATAATATCTGGAAGTTTGGTAAAAAAAAATATGCTTACAGCTTACGTTATATTACATAAGTAAAAGAAGTCTAAAATGAGTTGCGTTTAATAAATGTTTGTTAACATACGAGATAATGARCGAACGAGAAATATAATTAATTTTCAACGCACAATATAATTGATGAGTAGGCGTAAAATAAATTCATACGAATTACAGTTTTCAGTGAAAAGTTGAACGGGACATCACGCTAAAATTTATTTWTAAATACATTTCAATATATAGCTATATCTTCTATAGTGATTACATAGACGTAACTACAACAAATTTCTCTCTATTTTAGATTCATATAACAATACATGATTAAAATAGTCAGTGCAATAACAAAACACCTCTTCATCTTTTAAAATGTTCAAGAGTGCTATGCAGACATTCGTCGAATACAATAGGTAATACAAATGGTACTCGCAATAATAAGCTGCAGATGAAYGAAAATCATCAGATGGTATAAATGTGTAATTTGAAAATTATTATAATTTTTCTTTGGCTGGCAATTTTATCGTATCTGAAACTAACGATTAATCAAAACTTTTTACTTAAAAAAWATTTAATTATATATACGTATTGGATTAAGTAAYATATTGTTATTTATTATATTTCTCAAAATATTTTATTTGATGAAAACTGAATTGCAAATGATAAGAACAGGAAAAAAGTTGTGTCGACTGATATCTATGAGTTGGTAATAAAAATAATTTTTTCCTTTGTGAAAGTTTTAATAGAAATAAGGTCGAGAAAAATTTCCAAGAGATAGATGCAGAAATAAGTGAGAGAGAGAGAGAGAGAGAGAGAGAGAGAGAGAAATAGATAGAAAGCTTTGAAGTAAAGCACATTCTTCCGGCGTGACTTTAATCGTCTATACTGTCTTAAATCTACGAGTACTATACTATTATACTATTTCATATTTATATCAACAATATGTTATTATTGTACTCATTTTATTTTTATTTATTTTTCAAATCAATTTTTTCAATAATGTTATTAATTATTAACTATGCACATTCGATAAAACGTAAATAATTAATAAACATAATATTCATGTGGGCTCTCTCTCTCCCGTGTTGGAATACCAGGAAATAAAAAATCCAATTGAACTGTACCTAAATGAAGCCACCTCATCTCAACATTCTGTAAAAATACACCTAAAATTATACTTAACTTAACCACAATCTCAGAGATACTCAATACAATCAACTAAAAAAAAAATGAAAACATGGCAGAATTTGAATAAAGGGGCGCATTCCTTTCACCCAAAAACGACCTTCATCCTCTTTTCGCCCACGTCCTCTTTTCGACAAAATTCCAGAAAATAGTTTCCTCTTTTTGCCTGAAAATAATTGCATTGTTTTTGCCCACCTTTCATGTTAAAAATTTTGGAAAGCACTGTCACACAGCTTTGGGCAGCTAACTCGTCAGAATTAATCTGGACGACTGATGCATGTGAGTCCTTTCATGCGTTCTTTAACAAAAGTTTTTATTGTATTTATCCACTACTTAGTACGTGGTTGGCTATTATACGAGAAGTCCAAACTGATGTCTTTAAATTAAATAGTATCCATTTGCAACATTTTCCTAAAGATAGGAAAGTTAAAGAACTACGACTAAAAAACGAAGACAAAATACAACAGAACCTTAGAGGAGAGATAAGTCGGTATGAATTTCTTAAATCTATATCGTTCAACTATACAAAACATTTAAATTTAAATTAAACATTTTTTTAACGACGTCATAAAAACTGATGACAAATACCTCTTATATTATATAATAATAATTTAATGTCCGCAAACACAAAATATATTTTTGAAGAGTAATAGACGCCGCCTCCTCGTAGTGCTCTCTGGGCTATGCCAAATGACTTAATTAAATTAATTWAAAAAATTAAATTTTGAGATAGTGCTTTCCAAAATGTTGAACATGAAAATTTGGCAAAAAGAATGCAATTAATTTTAGGCGAAAAAAGGAAACTATTTGATCATATTTGGTCGAAAAGACGGCGTGGGTGAAAAGAGGAAGGTCGTTTTTGGGCGAAATGGAGTAATAAAGTACTATCAATATATTTATTTTTCCATGAAATACACTTATACTTAACAATTAAACGATTACCTATAAATAATGCTATTTTGTTTTAAATTTAACTTCTAATCTGATCTATAAGTAAGCTAATAACTATTGCTGTTGAAGTATTAATAGATAATAAAATATAATTCATATAATTTATAATTTTATTATGGTTATCAACTTTTAAGACAATCATTTATTAAATACTTATTATTCAAATATTTATTTGAAATATGATATTACAAATTATAATTTTAAATTATGATATTTTCAATATTATATAACATATTGTAATATATTTATTGAAGTTACACAAACACCAATAATAAATCTATGAATATCAAAAAATCGAACGACATAAAAATATCTGAATTATCTCACTTCTCCCTTATAAGTACATTATAATAAATTGTGTATTATTATTTATTATACTCGTAGATCAATTAAAATGTGGTTTACCTGTTTAAAATATTTTAATTGGTGATTGATTTTGATGGTACCATTTCAATACGATATTATTGTGAAAAAAAATCTTTTWAAAAAAAAAAGAACATGCTGATCAGGTCTATTATATCTGTTCTATTACATACATTGTATAGTTCTTCCGCTATCTAAAACRATTTAATCAAATAATATTACCAATGACTATAACGTTATATAATAATTTAAGGAATTATTTAAGTAGACACCATATTAATTAAGCATAATATTTCTTTGAGCTGTATAATTACGTCTTTGTACCACTTATTTTACTTAATAACGGTACGAATTAAAATCGAATAATCATAGTATCCATTGTTGGTGTTTTTCGAGTTTATAGTGCTATCCTAATATTAGTTATTACCACTGTCTACCTTTTTTATAAATACTTAAAATAGACTTTGTACATCGTTATTATMCTCTAGTCGTTTTACATATGAAACCCCAAAATGATAATTGCAAAAATGTTATACTAATTTTGTAAGAAATATTTATATTATTTTCCCTGTACAGTAAAAGTTTAGAGTTATAGAATAGAATAATTTAATAGAGTTTAAAAGTTTTTGATTCGTTTAAAAGCTTAAGTTTTTAAACGACCAACTTTTTGAAAACTCTTCACATCGTTGATACCTTTCACAGTGATTGTCATTTTTCATAGATGTTTAAAATTTGAAATTTTGAAAATCATGGTATCAACTGATTTTATAATACCTAGTGATCAATTTTTGTCGAAATATTTTTAAATTTTGCTTACAATAAATAATAATTAATTACCAATTATTTAATTACTTATTGAAACTATATTTTTATTATTTTTATTATAATTATAATTATTCATATTGACTTAATGCATACACATTAACCAATMAAAATTTTATTTTTAACTGAAATAATTTTAAAATTTCAATTATGCATTGAGCAGATGACGTTCGCAACTCTATCGAGGCAGACGCTTACTTCGTGATGGAAGGACGGTGTACTTGTCTGCAGCGACTAMGGGTCCGTAAGACGACAGAGTATGGCCGCAACTATTTCACGCTGATCCGTGACCATGACAGAAACAGCCAATCAAATTTGGACTTAAATAAAAACGTACAGACAGTTTACGTGAAAATGACTGATCTACGTCCAGGTTCGGTTTTCGGCCTGGGTAAGACGTATAATATATTATAATATATTAAAATTATACATTGTTCATTGCTTAAATGTTATCATTGTGCTTATTATGTACACATTAAATATTGATACCGTGCAGATTAAATATATCTCAAGATAATTTATCCATTCGCAGTGGTAACATAATTGTGCCAAAAATAAATCATTTTAATGATGTTTAWTAATAACGTTAMAAAAACAAAAAATTTTAATYGTCTAGACACGAGTTTGGGGATTGCATGATGAATAATTAGTATTGGTAGAAAACCTGTGAGTATAATATGTGTATAAAGTCATGATGAAAACAATTTATTTGGTGTCGATAAAATAGTAGGATGACAAGCTGAAAAAATTAGAAAAATAATATTATATTCTTACGTTTATCTGTTTTGATTATTAATTGGTTCACATAAAAATCATCATTTGTTACTCATTTGTAATTATTATTATTGGAATACTGTTTAAAATATTATTATGRGAAAATAATTTTAATTAGAAATGTTYTTTAAAAATAATAACGAGTTAATGAATCATAACAGTATTCTTCAAAATTTGATAATGTGCGGATACTAATCGACCAACGAGAAATATTATTCAATCGCTTTTGTAATGTTTATTTGAAAAATACTGTTGTCTCTACTCGTAAGATATCGACTTTTATCGATAAAATGATTCTTCGTCAGTAGGCTGTCGTTCGGCTACTAGAATGATATGTCTGTATCTATATATAGGCCCAGAAAATAAATAAGTAAATGATGATGAGAGAGACAACGTCACAAATCACAATCGTTGCTGAGAATGGGCAAACAACAATGATTGATGGACTTTAATTTCGTCACCGACGTATTATCATTCTTTAAACGCCTTCATTTGGTGGATTTTGTACTTAAAGAGCTGAATCGGGCACTTTCAATTATATTTTGATACAGAGAAAAAATATTTGGCCATATTCATAGCGAGAGCTTCCGTTGAAATAAAAACTCAATTATCTAATTTGTACGATAGTAATTTAAGAAACTCAAGTACGGGTGAATTTTRTAATATTCTAAATAATGTGAATTTTCATTGAGAACATCATAAATTAGGAACTCAATTATTTCTCAGCGAATGAGGTTTATTCGTTTGATATATTTCCATGTCTTACGAGCAAAAATACAACAGCGTTTTAATATAATTAAGGATTAATTAATTGAAGTAAAATAAAAAAACTCATTTATAATCTAACGAAAACTAAATGGTTTGACAAAAKTGGTAAAACAGTTAAAATGTTATGACTTGTGAGTTTTCGAATTTATGACTTATATTATTTGTAAATTAAATTATAACTATGTGATTTATATCATTAAACCACATTTATATTTTCCTCTTAAATCCATAAACTAAAACGGAATCCTACAATAGGTAAGTGTCAAACACGTTCTCAAACACCGAACACACCTGTCGGAAAACTATTATTTTCCAAGACCACTATGATACCAGCCAACGCCCAACCAATAAAATTTGAAACCATTGTACATCATTTGGAATATAATCATATTTATTGATAACGGAAATGAGTATTTTGTTCGTCCACAGGCGAAAGGTGTTCAGGGCGAATAGTGATAGCTACCACCGACGTCAAGTGTTTGCTGGTCCCGTTGGCGTTCCTCGCCAAGCACAACACGTCCAACATTTGGGGTCGGACTGTATGCTCTCTGAACGGTACCAACCCGACGGCTGAACAGTCGTTCCGGAAGTTTGTCGTGGAAAACAGATGGGCAGAGTACAAGAAGTCGTTAGCAGACGACTTGTTCCGGAAACGCCGACCATAGGATTGTTATTATTATTATGACCGCTGTGAATAATATTATTTTTTATGTTATTTTTACGCACGGCGTAGTATAATCGTATCGTGTTTTTTCTTTTTATTATGACTAAAACGGTTAAGTACCTACCTTTGGTTTAAGYAACCTATATAACAAGGTATTGTCTTTTTATCGTGYTGTCGTTAAATTTACAATAAATTACATATTATACAATATGCGTGTTCACAGTATTCAAAACGACTGGAAAAGAGAGAAAAAAGTTTTATTATTTCCCTGTAATATATATGGTGTGCACACGTACAATAAATATTATATTATGTAGGCATGGTTTTGATGTACCATGAAAGCACYACGCCAAGCGCATCGCTTTGAACGGTAAGGTTTTCGTCAAACTGCAATAATTCGGTCAGATGATAATAAAACTAGTATAGTCGCACGTGTACTTATCCACAAAAACTTTTTGTAATATTATCCGTCGGCCGGCATAGGTAATCGAAGATTTTCACGCAAATTTTGAAAATTTGTAAGGACCCCTGATATGATAATGTTACGATATCATATCTTAACCTAATCTAATCCACCAGCCAATATATTACCCTAATAACTTCATAGAAGAAAAAACCAAACTTTTATGCAGACAGGAAAGTTAGGACGCGTGTCCAACGATTATAATATTATCATCCAGACGCACATCAAAATAGTTTATTATGGTAAATCACTACGTCGCGCGTCGGGTGTAGGATGTTTAATTTGTATTTTATATTATATAAGTGACGTATCAGGAACTATTTCAGAGAATGTATACGGTTTCAAAAAGTGTGATCATGTCAAAATAGAAATAAAACCATCGTTTGACTGATATATTATTGTGAATTATGATACCAACTCTTTAAATATCGATCCAATATCAGAAATTCAGAATCCTAATAGGTACGAATAAACTTTTTTTCGTCATACAGACACACGCACATTAGCATATTACTATTAGATACTTACTCGTTTGATCATGAAATTTTTATTTATTTATTTGTTTTTGAATAGAACAATATATACCTGATTAAAAGATCCAGTGAGTTATTAGGGCATGTTATGACATGAGTTGCATGCAGATTACACTTGACATATTATGCAATGTTAATTACACATTTCACACATATTATGAATGATAAATCATGATCATAAAATATCGTATAAATACTTGTGTAATAATAAAAACACACAAAATTTAAATTTTTAAATTTTTATAATATGTTTTATTGTTTTCATTGGAAATAACACGATACGTTTTTTAAATGGTTATTTTTACAATAATTAACTTAAAGTACAATATTACATATTATATTATTGTAGTATGGTATTCGAATAATGATAAGTAACAGATTTTCATCTTATACTTAGAGTATCGATGTTAAAATATCGTCATTTCAAAATAGGCTTAATGTATTATTATAATGTAGCAAACACAAATTATTAACAGTTATTGGACAACGACAACATTTGGACTCGGTCACCACAAAGCGACATTTAAAACAAATTTTCTGTGAATTACATTTAAAAAAAAATACATATATATATATATCAAATATTAAGATATATAATAATATATCGTAGTATAATTTATAACTATTCTTGTATTATTTTTTTAAAGCGGTGTATGTCGTACACGATACAGAACAATAAGTCTCGTGACGTGACCATGATATTATATATACATAAAGTTTGTAGTATCTATCTACAATAAAATATAATTATCATTAAGTTCGGTTTTTCGTGGGTGGCAAGCCAGTTGTATTCATATAATATTATATCATATCTATTGTTTTGTACAGTTAATATATATATATATATATTAGTTTTTGAAAAATCAGGTGGGCAATGATTATTTCTTTTAGCCAAGTGTATATGTTATAACAATAATAACTTATTATATAATAATTTATAATAATTATATCCAGGATGATTTACTAATCATGCTCTTACTCCATTTTTTTTAATAATAAATTTGTGCAATTCTGGTTTTTGGAATTTTTAAATATAATTATATACTATTTGTAAAAATGCTTGAATTATTTTGTATCACAAGAGTGTCYCGCGGTTAAAATTATTTTGTTTTTAAAATGAAAAACCCCCCTTTTTTACTTCAAATGTTCAAGTTGGAACTTGTTTTGAATATGTTGATATCTATATCTATTTCAAAAATTTGAAAACGTAGTTTCTCAGTTATTATATCGTATTTACTAAAGATAAAAGTCTATATAATAGTCCCTAAAAATGGTCTTACAAAAACATAAAATCGATATGTTTAATATAGGTTATAATATTATGTGTTATATTTAAATACTTGGACATTTTTTCCAAATTATTCATTTTAATAGATCAATATTATTTACCACATTGATYTTCAAATCACCATACGCCCTATATATTAAAAGCCCAGTATTGTGTAAATATTATATATTATGTATTATCCTTAGAGCAAAAAGTTAAATATGTAACTAGAAAACTACTCTATCAAATTTTGAATTACATTTGTCTACATTTTTAGAAAAGTCATTTACTAAATAATTACAGTCCATAAAAAGAGGGTTCTCATATTAAAAACAGAATTTCTAACTCCACAGGACATTTCTCAATAACTGCATTGTAAGGAAAAAAATACGAGGTAAGCGTTATGCTTGGTAAATCAAACTGTATAATGCTCTCAAAATGCCATCAAATACACTCAATGCCAACTATATATAATATCCTCCATAGATTTTTACTAAACGATTATGTTGACGAGTGATGTTACGAATTGTTCTATTATTGAAATGAATTGGAATATTAAGGAATTCGATTCGAAAAATGAACTGAAAAGCGCATTTAAAAATCAAATTAATTAAATAAAAATTGGAACAACAGAAAGAAATTTAAAAAAAAAATCTTGTTTGTGTGTGTATAATATTATTCTTATTTTTCAAGATCATTTATCAACTGCATGTCTGCATATTTTTTTAAATTTAGTTTAGGTTTAATTTAAAAACTCAATAGTTTGCTTCTTGTTTGGTTCTTTATCAAAAATAAAGGTGCGTATAACATCACCATAGTAACAGCCACTATAATTATTATTATTTCCAACCCTCCCCATCTTTAGGAAAATCCTTCTCCATTTCTAAAATTCCGTTAGATATTCGAGCACCGTACTTTGTGCAGAGTCTCGTTACTTATTTATTTCATTAATACAAGTGCAACCACAAAAAATACTGAAATAGTTAATAGCAAAGTAAATAAACTACGTATATTAGCAAAGTATACGATTAAACATTTTTTACTTGGAAAATATAATTTAGAATGTGAACGAGACTAGGTCACGTCGAATTAATATAGAGTTAATTAAATATTAACCTATATACATTATAACTAGGGTTGGTAAATTTCCGGTAACGTAACTAGGTGGGAATGTACAGAAATGCAGAAAAATTCACGATAAACAATTATTTCTTATGAATCATTATTTTATTCTGTGACTAAACAGTGATTCTATGTTGCATTTAGTGAGTATCATAAAAATTAATTACATAAGAGTACCTATATTATAAGACTATAATAATAGACCATTTTAGTTAAACTATAACATAACAATGGAACGATCGTGGTTTTTTTGATTTACTGACTAATATTTATTATTATTGCAACATCGTTGTTCTATTATAATAAAACAATGTTTCTAAATATAGTTCAACTTAAAATTATAAAATACCTATTATAATAATAATAAAAACGATTCCGTTTCCGTTATCCTACACTCCTCAGGAATTATTCGGAACATTTTCGTTTAAAGAGTTTCCAGAATTTTAACTCTATTTAAAACGATAGTTTTCAGTTAGGCTAACGCATGTAGTCGTCATACTGATTTAATGTACAGTGTTGCAAAGAAGTATTTAATATGTACTGCAGTATACACTAAACGCTGTGTTTCGAAAATGGCTTCCCGTGTCAGGTACCTACATGGAAATCGATTTTGAACAGAATAAACTTTGGCGTCGATTCAGCATGGTGCATGTGAAGTATATTAATACAATAAAACTGGATTGTTGGCATGGTTGAAGAGGTTGTGGGCTGCACTCGGTTAATATGAAAAATATTACGTTCAACGAATATTTAAAGCTGCTTAGTGCTTAAACTCGCGTCAACGCCRATGAAATTGATTATTATTCGTTACTATTTTGTGGTAGGTATTTATTTTTTTTTTCCACTCGAATCAATTATTCGTTGAAAATGCCTCTATATCATGTTATTATTATGTTGTATACACTTCTCTCGATTGGATAACGGTTATTATTGGCGATATATATAAAAAAAAAATTATCTATCTTTACAATATTATTATAATATTATGTATATTATGTGTATAACAAAATATACTTGGTTATCATCACTAACACTTTACAGTTACTAATATTTTGACTGTAGGTAAAGTAACAATTTTTTTTAATGTTTTTTTTGTTTGTTTGTTAATCATAGGTATATAATACTACTGCTTTAGTATAACAGTATTATTAAATTGACTTAATGTCGCCATTAATATCGTATACACTCGGCCACCACCCATTTCCCGTCGGGGTCAATTTATACCATACATAATCATATTATAATTTGAACACGAAATTATCAACACAACAACAAAAATAACAACAAAATTATCATAACACACACACACACACATATATATATATATTATATTATTATCTAACTTAAAAAAGAACAATTCAAAATAATTTTCACAAACGTCCGACGGCACATGTAATAATATAGTATAAGCACACTTTGACACAATGCCAATATTTAAACAAAAATACATTAATTGATATAAGTATTATATTATATTTTTAACTGTTTAAATATTTGATTTTATAATAAAACTAGTTTGATATCGTTGAAGGGAACACTATATATTATATTATTCATCGTATTTACAATGCACGAATAACCCTGGTAATATTTTAGGATAACACACGTAATTAATGTAATAATAATATAGGAATGATAATATCGTTTATTTAGGTCAATGGCGAAAAGAAAAATTTACAAATGTTTGGTTTTATTCATTTATATTTACAACGCACCTATCATTTCATATGATGTGCATATTATATCAGTAAATATGTTAGTCGATGGCACCATCTGGTTGAGGAAATGGTGCGTTTCAAATATCTTAACAGACATAGAGCCACATTTCTGATCACTGTCTTTCCTATGAAAATAAAAAAAAGCACACGCGTTTTACAAATATACCTATTGGTATGTAGTATAAATATTTTGACGAACACTCGTTCAACATCATATACGGTGTGATTCAACAAGCATAACCTATCCCCAAAGTATCTTTTATTAATGAATTTATTGAAATTGAAAATTTGGATATATTAAGTTAAAGACTGTATTATAAAATTGTCAAGATTTGTACTGATTAAAGAGTGACCTGTGTCAGTAAAAACTATTGTATTTCAAATAAGAATTCTTAAATCCTATATTTTTAAACATTCTTTTATTTACTAATTTTTAAAGTGGATATTTTTTCTGAAAATGTTGATATATCTAGCTCAAAATTTGAACAAGTAGCATCTCATTTATTAAAATGTTTAMAATAAGAATAATAGTCCTTAAAATTCGTTTTACAAAAGTATAAAATATATGCAATATTAAGATTTAGTATGTATTATACTTTACCATTTTTCTCAATTTTATACCTTTGTTTGTAAATTAATATTAATAAAATATCATAAATTTAAAATAACCATAGCCCCTCATCTTCCGAACCAATAATCGTAGACCTAGTATCCTTAGTACATAAATTTAAATAAACCATAAACCTGTTCAAATTTTGATTTTTACACGTTAATATTTTCATAAAAATTATCTGATAAATAATTTACAGATGAAAGAATGGTTCTCATTAAAAAAAATATATATAAGTTCAATCTTCACAGGAATCTCTTTAACTAGTATACGATATTTTGATCAAAAACATTTGAATATATTATGCTCTTAAAGTATATTTAAAAAACGAATAAGTAACTGTATAATTGAAAAAAAGGGGTGAGCAGGCTTGGGGGAATCATTTTATACTACTTAACAAACCTATCATATATCTTCCTATGATAATACCTATTCTATAGTTTTCTACATTGTGTGTAGTATTATCGTGTATATTTTTATTATTACCCTGTTCCACCGGAGTCGAGATATTTGTCTATGAACGGTGTATAAGTAACATACAAATATTATTTCATTAATGATGTACATAACATAATACGAGTACACAATATTATTATAATATTATAACTTACTATATTATTTTATTTCTTTATCATGAAGTATATTAAAAAAGAAAATTAAAAAAAAAAAATGAATGCGATGGCTTTTTAAGGGGAATCACATTGAGTGGCGTTTTGACACCTAACCTGTATACACGGAATTTGTTTCGGAAAAGTTTTATACACCTACTATTATTTATTATGATATTATATTATATGGCTGTCTCGTATGAAACCTACCATAAAATAATAATATTATTATACACTATATATTATATTTTTTCGTTTGTTTAAAATAATAAAATATTTTGGGAAAGATTGCGTTGAGGAAAAAAAAGAGTGAAAATGAAATTAATCGTACATATGTCAACCAAAAAAAAGTTTTAAAAACAAAAAATTATATTATTTTTATTATAATACACTACTGTTCATCGTTCAGATGATGTCTGCCGATTTCACGTCATCCTACCGTTGTCATCGACCAGTTCTTTGATATAATTTTATTTTCTAACAATGTCCACGGTATGATACTTATCATCTATATTAACGATGTCTCTCGTCTACATTGAGATCATTGCACGGGTGATGTTCTCGTCATTTTTACAGGTTTCCATGAACTCGTCGAATGACACCACCCCGTCTCGATTGAGGTCCATTTTCTATAAACATAAAAACCYGATTAATAATAGCATACAATATACAAATGATACATACTGAACGTAAGTATATACGATATGACCTATTTTATAGGTTCATGTATGCATTATTTATTATTTTTATTATAATAGTGGCAACCGGAATTTTGGCAGAACTCAAAGAAGCTACGCACTAGCAGTACATACCTATTTTTTTTTTTAAATGTACAACTTTTCTGGATACATTCATAATATAATGGAATAAAGTATTATAATAATTAAAGTATTTTATCGATTCGACAAAGGTATTAACAATGTACCTATGTTTACCGAATTATCTTTCTGTGGTATGTAAGCTGATTTTAGGGTTCTCGTAAAAGGAGCAAAGTTAAATACAATTTTGTATGTGAGCAAAACATCGATACGTGTTCAATAAATACTGAAAAACGACAGGTTATATATTATACGATTAAAAAGGGGTTTTTTCTTCTTTTTTTTAGAATTCTGTAAAGACGAATAACACGATAAGAGTAAATTTTATATATATAAAAAAAACGAAACTGGATTTGAAAAATATTAAACTTATTTCATATTGTTGTAGGGTTAAAAAAGCTTAAACAAAAAGTCGTCATCTATATTATACTATTATGTTATGTATTATTATGAACCAGAATGTTTTAGATGATGTAGATATAACGTATTACGTAATCGACAATAGTCAATTTACAAAAATCGTCTGACAATTTATAAAATCATTAAATATATAAATAATGACGTTTTTTTATATAATTATTACAAAATACTGCAACAGTGTGTCTTTCCTAGTTTAACTATGATTTTTTTTGTGGGAGCTGAGGCCACCCATTTATAACAAAGTGATGGATAATATATGATGACAAGTTTATGTCAACTTCTTATGAGGTCACGGTATTTTTTTTTAGAGGAGGGAGAGAAAGTCAGGTTTTGACTTTTTGTTTATGAAAAAAGTACATACAAGTACGGGCTTTTTAAAAGTAATGAATCTCATATTCTTAAAGTTTTATCACTAAATTATCGTGCAATAAACATAGTTGTTTACTATCCACAGGGACTCCAATCAAGACAAGTATTACGATTATATTTTCTATTTTTATTAATATGCATACAAATATCTTCATAATATAGATACATAATTATTATAATATATTACGTAGCTTAATAAAACGACAAAAATATTAATTTTTCATTTATTTGCTAAAAATATTCTAAGCTGAAAGGGCTGGACCAAGAGTCGACCCTCAGCACTTCACTGACTAGTGGCGATAATATATCATTTTAATATACGTAGAGATTTGAATGAAAAAAAAAACGATATAGCCTTGAATGTAGAATTTTTAGCTATAATATAAACATGTTTTTACGACTCAAAACAATAAATTGTTTTACACCCGAATGCGTGTTATGATATATTTTTTTAAATTTTTATAAAACACTTACAATTTTAAATTCACTATGACAATTTGTTCGCTTGAATATAATTTATAAATTATCACTCATTTAAGTGTAAAGTCATCTTCATATCATTAAATACTATCCTAAATTCAACTACAGACTGCAAATTAACTCTTGTCAGCATATTTTATTATTATTATATGCCATCACCTCTTCCCCTGTTACAATGACGTAATTTCAATGACAAAACGCCGTAAACGATGTTGCATATAATTATAATAATTATAGCGTAGGTAACAGAATTAACAAAGTGATTTTAACAAACTATTGTGCGGATGACACTCGAGACACCCGACTTAACAAGTATTCTTTATTCCACAATATTGCGTGTTCTTTGATATTGAGCTTATGATAGTTTCTAGCTGATAATTCAAAATTCTAAACGGCCTTATGTCGTTATAAGCGTCGGTTGTGGAGTGTGTAATATTACGCCACTCGGCACTTATTATATTATATTGTCTTCTGGATTTTTAATATAGTCTTCAGAATTTCACCCTAAAATTCTTATAAGATTGTTCAAAACTTAAAAAACTTTTCATGTAATTGAAGTATATGATTGAAGCTTATGCTTTAAATTAGTTAAGCTTATCAGTCATTAATCATTTGTTTTTTTGATTATTTTTTAAAATAATTTAATTTGAATAGGAATACTTAAAAATAATCGATGTCTTGTAGATTAACTGTTTAACTAACGTAATTATACCTTGTGCGGCATCTGCACTAAATCTAATGGGTTTTCTAACTCAATTATATTTGTGTCTATGATCTCGGAATATATCAACCTTTTTTTATATAAAAAAAACATTTTAATACAAATGTATACACTAAGGTTTTGATATATTACATTATTTTACGTCACATTGTTATTACTTGACTTTTGAGTTCTTGTCTTGGCTTTTAATTTTGATAATTGAGAGTTTAAAATATTTATTTATTTATGAAGGTGAATTTTGTAATTTACTGGACAGTGGGATTTGAATTATTCATTGAACTTGTATATTTCTAACCATTTTATTTAAGAGTCACATTTTGGTCCTTTAAATGGTCTTACATAAATCATTTTCTATACTCCATTGAAGTAATTCTTTTTTCGGTATCAAAATAGAATCCACTGCATCAGCTTAAAAAAAAAAAATCGGCAATATTTGTGTTTTAGTTTTTGCGCATAAGAATTTTAGTGCAGTATATTTTGTACATAAACACAAAAATAATAATAAATAGACGTTATTTACGTAAAAATGTGTCATTCATCAGGTATCTAAAACTTCTAAGGTATATTTATACGATGTAGAATATTGTGTGGTGGATTATTATAACATGGGTCAACTTACATTAATTCCCATTATAATATTATATTATATAATACAAGACATGATTGTGCACTTATTAGTGAATGTTAGATTCTAAAAGTGTTTAATTTATCCAACTACAGTTCCTCTTTTTTTCTAAACAATTTTGAAGTCGTTTTATTTATATAATCTTATATTATAGCCTATAGGTACCTATACTTGTACATTTCATATATAGTAATATGTTATTTATTTAGTTACCTATGACGTTTTGTAATAGAACTTGCCAAAGATTTTATAGTATAAAATAAAATGTCTAGTAAAAATGTAAGTTAGGAATTCAAAATAATATTCGATCAATTTGTCTACTAATCTCGAACAATTTGAAATAAAACTGTCACCGTGTAATTCCTCATACCTCAATCTGAGAAGATCGATCTAATGGTATGTTTTAAAATGTTATATTATTTAAAGTTTCATTGTTATTCATGGGTGTTTAATATAGGGACGGATGTGCTGAAACATTATACCTATCTTAAATCACTTATCCAGACGTTTATCGATCGACGACGTTCAACTCCTCTGAACCACGTTTGTCTTATACATTAAGGTGGCCTTTATTTTTGGGCTTCAATAATGTTGTGTTGTTGTGTCAGAGGCCTTTATTTTTTTATTTTTTATTTTTTGGTATGTTGTAAACAATTTTAGGTATAATACTTTACGACTTACGTCAACCAATTTACATGTGACAAAGAAGTTTAAGTTTTACGTTTTTTTTTCTTTGGCTTTTCATGTTTATTTATTTAAATTTTTACTATACAAAAGAATTCATCAGAAATATTTTCTTTAGAAGGTGCCTCCTTAAATTCCGGTGAAACTTAATGTCTTCTTATTTAAAAATTCGATTCAAAAAGTTAGTAGTTTTAAAGTTTTAAATAAATCTTAATTTTTATTATTTTTGATCATTATTGATAGTTGTATTATTTATAGTACTCATTAATCATTAGGTGGAAATATTAATTACAATTATCAATTTTAATCTAAATTATATCACTAAGTACTTAATCATCTTTTTGTGCATTTATAATCATCAAAATTATAAAAAGAAGTTATTATTTAATACTTTTAATAAAATGGTTCCATTATAGTAACATCGCTTAATATTTTTCTTTAATTTTCAAAAAAATATATATTTTAATAGATTTGTTCCATAATTTGAATTTACAAAAAGTTTACAATTATACATTTTATAAACTTAAAAAGCATAGTTAAATAGCACTGGTTATAGTAAATAAAATAACATTCTATTATTACTTTTATAATATTATAAAACAGTTAGCAAAACAACAAATTGTATGATTTAAATAAAAATTTTAGTTAGATATAATTAATTTATCACATGTTTTTGCTTATCAATCAGGTATATTATATACGTACTCATTATTACAATTACATTTGAATATAGGAACAACTTTTATGATCAAATAAATGCCTAGACAATATTTATTTGATTTTTGTTTTTTTAAATTATTTAGCTAAATATCTAGATCTTAACTCATCAAAATGACCCAATTAAAATGTATATACCGAATTGTGTTCACCAATTTAGGGAACACTGAATTTCTCGACCGGATTATGTTGGAATAAATTAAATTTTTCTTACAAGCTAGTGTAAGTAGATAGTATAGTATAAGTATACTACCTACTGTGTATATATATATACACATTTTCACTTTTCAGATAAATTTCAAATTTTTAACCTTATCGGCATGCACATGCGCAACGCAACTTATTTTTTTTTTTAAAAAGCAATCAGTACTTTGATACCGAATTCGGATAGACTGAATTATTTAAGTCATTTTTACCAATTAACTATAGCTCTAAAACCAAAATTTACTGAATGAGATCCATTCAAATTTTAATAAATAATACATTTTTACAATTTTTTATAAAATGCATAAAACCATTAATAATTATTTATTATTGGTTAGTTTTTGAATACTTTTACGTATACAGTTGTAATCAATTTTAATTAAATAATGTTATATCCATACTATGTTAAATCTTATTTATGACACGTATAAAAAAAAAGTTATGTTGCGCATGCGCGTACCCAGAGGGTTAAAAATTAAAAATTAATCTGAAAATGTGAAATTATATACCACTAGCTTGTAAAAAAAATTTGATTTATTCCAACATATTCCGGCTGAGAAATTCAGTATTCTCTAAATTGGTGAACACACG